CCTGAGTAGAGTTGCATCTTTATCATTTATTTAATCTGAAAGCATTCCAAACTTGTGGTCAGGCTATAAAATGCCATCTAAATCAAACCTATTTTAAGATGCAATGTTAGTCTTTTTAACAAACAAATAGAGGCTGCAAAATATTAAAACACTGACACTTTCACTTACCTCAAGATTAATTAACTCCTCTTAATGATAAACATATTTGTTAAGTGCTCATATACTGTGGTTCCCTGATGTAGTATTCAGGGACACCAGCGTGCACTAGACATCCTTCAGCTCACTGCATCTGATGTCTTCGATCTCACGCCTAGACACCTGGAAATGAGCAGGGCACAGTTACAGATAACAGGTACATATAAAGCCAGAATTTCAGAAGTAGCTTTCCTCATAGCTGCTTTGTTGCACGTCTCAGGTGTGATTGATAGTAGCTGATTTTCTCTACCAAGAGACACGAGAATCTTCTTACCCTGGAATTGCACATTCCCTGATCAAAGTATAGGCCAAAGCCTGATTCATTTACTATGTGAGCTGTCTCGGTTGATCACAGTGATTACAATGCCCCCAAAATACCCAGATGATGCAAAAGGGAAATCAGGTTCTTTCTTACAGCAAAGACATCTGGTGTTTTCAGCACCTCTTTATTTTTTCCTGCATTGCGAGCATCAATAACGGCATTCATCTTCTCATTTAGACATGGTGCCTGAGGCAGTCCGATAAACAGAAATCATTTGCATAAATATGAAACACCTCAGTTTTGGAGTGGCATGGGGTGATCTAATGAACCCTCTTTCTCTTGTGTGAGGAATGAAGGAGATTGATTCCTAAATTAGACAGACAGGTTGTTTTCCATCGCTCTGACTGAGGCGGCGTATAGAATGTTTCTTAAGTGTCTGTAATATATGGACTTTGCCTGAGTAGAGTTGCATCTTTATCATTTATTTAATCTGAAAGCATTCCAAACTTGTGGTCAGGCTATAAAATGCCATCTAAATCAAACCTATTTTAAGATGCAATGTTAGTCTTTTTAACAAACAAATAGAGGCTGCAAAATATTAAAACACTGACACTTTCACTTACCTCAAGATTAATTAACTCCTCTTAATGATAAACATATTTGTTAAGTGCTCATATACTGTGGTTCCCTGATGTAGTATTCAGGGACACCAGCGTGCACTAGACATCCTTCAGCTCACTGCATCTGATGTCTTCGATCTCACGCCTAGACACCTGGAAATGAGCAGGGCACAGTTACAGATAACAGGTACATATAAAGCCAGAATTTCAGAAGTAGCTTTCCTCATAGCTGCTTTGTTGCACGTCTCAGGTGTGATTGATAGTAGCTGATTTTCTCTACCAAGAGACACGAGAATCTTCTTACCCTGGAATTGCACATTCCCTGATCAAAGTATAGGCCAAAGCCTGATTCATTTACTATGTGAGCTGTCTCGGTTGATCACAGTGATTACAATGCCCCCAAAATACCCAGATGATGCAAAAGGGAAATCAGGTTCTTTCTTACAGCAAAGACATCTGCGTAACTACACTAAAGCCTATTTATGTGTTTTCTAAATTATGTTTAATATATAGCGCTACAATTCATTCAAACACTCTGTATACAGCAGGACACATCATTCTGCTTTTCCCCACACTCTTTCATTCCTTTCAAAATCCACTCCTTTATTTCTTCTGCCAATCATTTCTTTCTTGTTGCTACTACCTTCTGAGTCATCTCGCAGTTCTTCATGGCGGAAGAAGCAAGGAACCAAAAAGAGAGCGACGACCGAGATCACTTGTCATTCAGATTATTGATAATGATAGGTTGTGGTTAAGATGGTTTCAAATATGCACCTCTTTAAAAAAAAGCGCTGGAAAAAAGTGTTCTGAATTTCTTTTTCCATTTTAATTGTAATTTTGGTTCAACACAAATCCATAAGGTTACAACACTGTTTATTAATTTTTTTGTTTTAATTCAGTAATTCTGTTAGAAAATGTTATTTGCGTTTGTAAATTAAGCATAATGTAACAAGTGACTCAAATAAATAGCCTCAATTTTATGTATCCCTGACATAATGTCTTTGATTTTACGTAAACTTGTGTCAAATCAATTATAAGTTTCTAGATAGCTAACTACTATAGTGGCATCGGTGGGAAGTACAAGAAGGAGGTGATCAGTCACTACACTGGCTTTTGTACAGTAATTGCTCATTTTTAGGGAAATTAAGAGGATTTCTGTCTTTACCTCAGTATCAGTAGTGAATGCTGTCTGAGTTCTGAAAATATATGTAGCGGGATCTTATCGCAGCGGGATCTTATGCGTTTGTGTTTGTGCAATGTTGATTTGTGTAAATGACCGAAATACATGAAGCCAATGGGAATGCGTCTCTATTGGCGTGTATCTTCACAGCACCCTGGGGGTGTTACTTCAAAAATTATTTTCACTATTATAAGCAAAGGCCCTATCATTTCGAATGCGACATGGAATGTAATAATGTAATGTGGCTTTAGTATGTGCACGTACACTGAAAAAAATGTTTCATTCATCCAATTAAAAAAAATTATGGTAATGATTCACATCTATATTTTTTAACTTGAGCCAATGAAAAATAAATAACTTACCCTTAGTTCATGCAGTCCCAACACAATTGGATTAAATAAACTTTTTATTATTATTATTTTAGAAAATGATGTCGATTTATGAACATGTGGCATAAGCCTGCATCAGAATTGTATTTCATGTAAACACCTAATTCACAATATGCACCATTACTGAACATTCATTCCCTTTCAGTCGGTCACGTTCGACGTCACGTATGTCGTCACGTATGTCGTTCATATCTGTGCATGTCCAAACAAAGGTAACTCTGGGTGATAGTAGTTACAGACAGTGTGAGAAGTCAAGCTGTTCAATAAACAAGAGTTTCATGATACACATTTTGCAATTCATTACACTCTTGTCTATTTTTGTTAAAGAAATGAGAATTAATGAGCTGTTTAAATTACTGCCCACAATCACTAAACTGTAGCATAATAAATGACAAGAGCATCTTCGTTATTTCCAGAAGAAATTAGCAGAAAATATAGAGAAGTGCAGGAAAAGAATATTGGCTTTTAGAGGGGTCATAAATTGAGAAATCAAAATTTCCCTGATCATTTGACAACAAGAGGTCAATTTAACTGAATTTAACTTTCAGAATTCAAAAATTTCTCAAAAAAGTAGCTTTTACAACTTGTTTTCTACGTCCGGGTTTTTATTACATAGAGATGAAAGCAATAAAAAAAAAAAACACTTTATAATCACTGGAGCTGTCAATCCCAAAGGGAGAGCTCACTGACTGCACTCATCCATTATAATCAATGATACAGTCTACACTGTTCAATTAATCTCTTATTTACATTGTGTTTGCTCTGTGTTAGTTATGATGAAAGCATTCCTGAGAGTGCAGAAATTGAGTTAGACCATAGTCAGGGTAGTGCCAAATGTAATTTTTGAGAGGAATGAAAATGAGGCTGTAAGGGATAGAAGTGCTTTCAGAACATACGAAATGTATATTTCTTGAAAAAAAAAAAATGCTATAGTCAACACTTTTCATGATTAGTTAATCTCGGCATCTGTATTAAAAGTTTTCAAAACAGTTCCACATGTAAAGATGTTACCCAAACATAGCATTTACATTGAAGGCTTAAAAAAGATGCTTCCCTTGTAACACTGTTCAAATCAAAGAGCTAAAATCAGGATAGAAAATGGCCTTTCATTTTCTAAATTATGTTTTTAATGTAAAAAATCTTTTTCTTGCTGGGACAGGAAGTACAGATGGAGGGACAAAAATCAAAGCACAGTCCAAATCTGATGTTCTCACTCTGTGTTGACCAAATATATTTGAGGACAACCATTCAGGGAGAGTCATCGCAGAGTAAATCATGTGTGAGAGGCATTTAAAACTTCTTCTCTGTCAGTCGGAGTGGCTTAGAGTGGCTGGTGCGTGGAAAGAAGAAGTGGGGCGCTATCAGAGCAGTGCGAAGGAGAAGTGAAGCAGCACTTACTTTCACTTTAAATCTTTCTCAAGCTGAGTGTGTGTATGATTACGTGTTTGTTGGGGGAGGAGGCGTGGATCACTGTCAGTGTTGCTTCCTTGGGGGAGATTAATAATTTATGAGATGGTTGGTGAGACTCAAAGATTCGCCCTGTGTGTCAAGACTTCGTTACATGTCTTTGCGTGTTTGTATGCCGCAGCGCAACACATAACATTCTCCCCACAGCGAGAATAAATGATGGGCCACTTCTCTTTTGCTCTCAGATCTCTTCATAAATATAAAATGGACTTTTTGTCTTCAGGTCTGTCACCACTGAAGCTTGAGAACATCTTGAGTGTGTTAGACAGGCTACTACTCAAACTTTTTTCAAAGAACAAGTCGACAAGTGTAGTTCTAATGTTCAGACTAAACAAAATTGGGACGAGGCCCAAATGTCCTCAAAAATTCAGCCTCAAGACCCACCTCAGTGTTTTTCTTTGAATGAAATGCTGTCAGACTAAATCACTTTATGCTTCACAGGACCAATACTGTTCAAAACTCCGAGCTGCTTTTGAAAGGCCAGTCATCAGAAAGCAGACCCTGGTGGCCTCCGATTTTTTAATGCTTTCTCTGTTGAGATGGATGCATTTGTTCAAATGGAAAAGTCAGGTAGGCAGTTTTGTTGTAGAACAGAACTGAATATAATACATATTAGTTTACGCAAAGCATTTCTTTAGATGATGGATGAAGAGTCAACGTTGCTTGAAAGCACTTTTCTAAGCACAGTGTTATATTTCACTACGTACGTAGAAAGCATCCTCATGGTGCTCAACTATTTATTGCTCCTTTTTTCCCTCTCTCATACTTGTCATTTCTGTTTTTGTGGGGCATATTTGAGTTTAAAAGACTTTGTGTTTAATGTATTGATGATTATTGCATTTATTTTTGTGTTATGCATATCTAATGTACTTCAGAAACTGCTCATGATGAAGACTTTTTCCAAAGGGATTAAGTGTGTGCAGCTGAGTGGTACGTGCGTGTGTGCTTGTGTTTGTTTGTGTGTGATCACACTACTCCTTAATCACTTGTTCTCGCATCTATCTAATCAATTGTCTGTCAGTCTCTTTTTTCCGGCAGGGAGGGACATTGATCTTCAGGAGTCGCCTCACACTCGTTACAATGTTCTCCGTCTTCATTAACACCACCATTAGTCTCACATTGTTACTCTCTAACACAACAACACAAACAATACTTTGGCAACAACACGCATGGGGAGATTGGAATAGACTATGGTATGCAACTTGGGAAGAATGAATCACATGTGCATGCACAAACAAAAATACAGACATACATAAAAACAGATTAAACACAGTCAGTATATCATTTCATTTGATACATATATTCATATTTATTCATCTAGCAGATGCTTTTATGCAAAGTAACTTACAAATGAGGAATATCACAAGTAATTTGTCATGAGAAGCAAAAATATTTATAGTATGCAATAGAGTGCTGCAGCCGTGACATCAAAACCCAGAAGACTTATTCACCATGGGTTCCCTTGGGGTTTTTCAATTTTAAGTAAAACAAGGTCTGTGGTAAACATAACTTGATGATACTTGGACGATTTGCTCTACAATGTAAATTACACACACGCATACTGAAAACACAAATTTTGAAGCAGTTATGTATATTTTTTAAAAACATAGGCTTATGTTTGTAATAAGTAACTACATTAGAACATTTGGGATGTGAGTGTGTGCATTTTACATTGTACAAATTGTCCAGTTATCGTCAAGTTATGTTTACTCTTACTATATGTTTACTGGGTTTTGATGACTGCAGCACTCTATGCCAAGTATAAACTAGTAGAAATTCATTTGTACACAAGATAGAGCCAAATGTAACCAAATTGACAGGATTTTTAAACCTAAAAAATGTAAACCTCATTATCAACTGGGGAAAAAAAGAGAACATAGAAAAGGAATGACCTAAAATAAAGAAATATTTAACATTCTGCACTTTTTCAGGGTAATCTCATTAGTAATTTTAGGCATTCATATGTAAAGTGTGTGTTCTAACTCACATAAATTTTCAGACATTTGCCTAGACACTGAGAAATACCAAACTGATATATTAACAACATCTAAAACACATTTTACGTATGAACAACTTCAGAGACATACAAATGTTTGCAACTCATTTTATGTTGATTGAATATTAAATTCATTGAATTAATAGGTCAAAAACATGTGTATAATATTATATATTGACTAAAATGATAGTCTTCCTATTCTTTTAAATTAAAAATTGGGTTTAGATTTAAGTCTTAAAAATTGTTTTAACATGTACCTTTACATATTTATTTACATAATTATAATAGATATATTATAATAAAGGATTTTTTAAACATTTCTAAAACTGTTAAGCATTTTATGCTTTCAATACATCCATACTGAGTATATACAGAATTGTATGTGTAAATGGTATGTACAAATACCCTAGTGAAAAAAATATACTAAAATGTATTTGAAGTAGGTTTATTTTGTGCTAAGTGTACTACAAATACATTTACATATTTATGTGCTTAATAAAAATACCCTGCAATTTTACTTTTGGTATACTAAACTGGTATACTTAAAGTCCGCTAAATTGGAACAACTAATTTTGTACTTAATAAAAATGTATTTTAAATACATTTATTTTGTGCTATAAGTATACTACAAATACATTTACATATTTATGTGCTTAAGAAAAATGCCCTGCAATTTTACTGTTGGTATACTAAACTGGTATACTTAAAGTCAGCTAAATTGGAACAACTAATTTTGTACTTAAAGGGTTAGTTCACCCAAAAAAAATTGGGAAACGTTTTACTCACCCCCGATCCTAGGTGTATATGACTTTCTTCTTTCAGACGAATCCAGTCGGAGTTATATTAAAAATTGTCTTTGATCTTTCAAGCTCTATCATTGCAGTCAGCGGGTGTTGCAGTGCTTCAGTCCAAAAGAAGTTAAATAAAAACCGCCCATGCATAAAAAAAGTGTCTCACACGGCTCCGGGGGCTTTACAAATCCTCGTTTTGTACTTCTAATTCTTGACCGTTGTTTTATTTTGATTTCTCCGCTGCGTTTCCGCGTGCATCACTTCTGAGCGGCGCATGCGCAAAGCTGACCTCATACGTCATTCTGCTTCAACGGAACTGCTTCCGTTTGAGACGGAGCCGTGTGAGACACTTTTTTTTATGCGTGGGTGCTTTTTATTTAACTTCTTTTGGACTGAAGCAATGCAACACCCACTGACCGCAATGATAGAGCTTGAAAGATCAAAGACAATTTTTATTATAACTCTGACTGGATTCATCTGAAAGAAGAAAGTCATATACACCTAGGATGCCTCGGGGGTGAGTAAAACGCAGCCTAATTAAAATTTTTGGGTGAACTAACCCTTTAATACACTTTAATTGTGCGGAAGTAGCGCTAAGGTCCAACTAAAGATATACTTAAGTATACTATATTTTATTGTGCTGAAGTGGAACTATTGCAAGCATACTTCAGGCACACTTTAAATAACAGAGATCATACAATCCTTATTAATAGTGATATTAAAACACATTTTAAGAATAATATTAATAAATGTGCGTTGTGCAATAAAGAAATATTTCAAATAAAGTTCAATAAATAAGTTAATGGATTTGAAGTATAGAAATAAATGTATTTTAAATAAAAAATTTTTTAATGTATTTTAAATAAACCATACCATATCATCAAACAAATTTTTGTCATTCACCATGTGGACTTCTTTGTATAAAAGGTCAGGTGTTCTTACTTCCTCACAAGTTGTTCTTTTGAACATTCTCAAATCATGCTGGAAAGCATGGATCAAGTCAACGTTTATTCATATAATGCTTTTCACAATCCATGTTTTTCAAAGGAGCCCTATTTGTGCAACAAACTTGTAGAGTGTGCTGTCTTTAAACCATGAAGGACGTACCAAATGTGATGCATTTTCTCTAGCGGACTCTTGCACCCCACTTTACCTACAGGTCACATTCACACCTGCTGAGTAAAAGTAAGATAAAACAAGAGCAAAGAGTGGTAGAAAGAGAGTGTCGTGGTGGAGACAGTGAGTGACCGCTGTAAGTGGATGTAACAACCTGCTGCTGTGAGAGAAATAAAAGCTCTAGTGTGGGCTGGGACGGCTCTTCTCCACTGAAGGGGAAATAACCCCTGCCTTCTCTGCTCATGTGAGCACGGCGACTTATCTAGAGCGACCCCACCTCGCAGCTATGAGGAAAGAAACCCGCCGTGAGCTCACCTTCCCAGCCATTACCCTCTGTAACGTCAACCGATTTCGCTTCTCAGCCCTCACCGATGCGGACATCTACCACTTGGCTAACCTCACCGGCCTGCCGCCCAAGAGCCGTAAAGGACACCGGCCAAGTGAGCTCCAGTACCCATCCCCTGACATGTTAGACATTTTCCAGAGGACTGGCCACCAGCTGGAAGACATGCTGAAGAGTTGCAACTTCAGCGGGCAGAACTGCTCGAGTGAAGACTTCAGCGTGGTGAGTAGCACAGGCTATGATTGTGAAGGGATTAAGTTTATTTGTGTGGCTTGAAAATCTTCTCTTTGCATGCCTCTCTTTGTTTGGTGACTCTGAGCAAAATTTTATAATGCCTCCTTCAGTCTTTTCTCTATGAGAGACAGCTAACAGCTAAATGATTTGTTTGGAATGAGGAAATGAAGTCCCATCCATCTGTGTCTAACCTCCATGCTGGGACAACAGACAGTTGAACGATGCAGTTATTTGCCATCTTAATTCAAGATCTGCCATATTTCTCTCTCCCCGCTTTCTACGTCCCTTTCTTTTCCTGTTACGTCACAGTCTGTCCCATCTGATGCTGAGTCTTATTTTGGCCAGAGAATAGATGAAAAATTCAGGAGAGGGACAAGTGACATGATTCCTGCATTAGCCCAATCAGCCTTGAGGAGACATGCGCTCAACTCTTCAAAGAAAGTTCCTTTCCTTACGTTGACATTTTTTTACTTGTCACAATGGTGTAGTTCTCTTTAGTTTTGCTGTTGTTGTTGTAATTTCAGTCAGTAATTTCCTTTTAGGGCTCTAACAGTCTAAACAGGATTAGATGAGAGATATCCTTGATATATAGACCATGAGACTTCTGTCAAGGATATCAGCTCTCTCTAGAATTCGAGCCCTCCTCATATAACTAACTTACTCTTTTTCTCTTCTCTGCTACCTCCTTCACTCTTTTTAGTCTTGGTTTCTTATGCAGAGTTTTGAAATATAATCATTTACTATGTGATTTCATGGGATTCAGTAGCAAAGGCTTAGGCTAGTGATTTACTGTATTATCCTGTTCACAAATTTGTTTGCCAGTATGTATACATTTTCATTGTGCCCCATGACCCTGGAATTACCAGAATTTCTAGTTTCTCTTTTCATATGGATATGCGCATCCAAATTGCTGCAGTTTTGTGCATATTGCTGACAGTCTATTTGTCAGTGATTGACATCGTAACCTGCCCTTATGAAAGTATTTTCCAATGTGCATTTAGGAGAGCTATAGTCAAGAGACGTCCTATTCTACAGATCTACAGTATTTTAAATCAGCTTGTGTTTAGCAAAACCTTTGGAAATAGAAATCTTAAAGTAATCTTAATGTTGTATTTTAATTGTTATATTATTTAAGAGATTTGCATTATTATTAATTTTATTATTGTCACAAGGATAATGGAAAAAAAGATTTTTAGCAAACGTCAGAATGTGAGAAAGGTGCTGTCCATTTGTATGTCTTTGGCTTGATTTACTCATTTAGATACATCAAAACAATTGCATTGGTCGACAGACTTACATTTGCACATTGGGATTTAACCCCTATATTATGTTGCAATTGTGAAAACTGCTGCCAGTTGCTGTGTTATTCAATTACCAAAGCCAAATTTTACTCACATTTGGTGCTTGTTAGTTAGTTTTCAGTGTTGTGTTTGTTCTGTTGACATTCTATTTAGTTTCATGCTCTTAAGAAGTCACTAGCAGCTGTGATCTCTCTGATGTCTTCAGATCTTGAAACGTCGTTATTAGGCTTTTTTGTTGCTCAGTTATGATTTCCTGTTTTGTCAACAGGTCATGTAGTAGTGCCGGAGCACATTTAATACAGTACCTGTGAGGTTAACACATCATAGTTTTGACATAAAGCCCTTGTTATGTTCTGACATTGCAGCAGGATGTCATGGTCTTAAAGTCTGCAGAATTTGAGGTTGCTTGATGCAATAATACATCTGTAGACATCTCAATGCACAGATATGAAATAGTGCTAATATACTATTTGTTATTTAAAAATTAGGGCATTCTGTCAAGATAAATTTTAGTGTCTGTAGATTAGTACTTTAAAACTGAAAGTTCCATGTGAGATGAGACTGAACATAAAAATATTCTGTGTCGTCAATACAATAAATTGCTTAGATTGTTGTGCCATATTGGAATGAGCTATGACAGCCTATCTATTTTCAAATTTACCTGCCTGTGAAAATTTACAGTGACTGATGGCTTTAATACGGTATTGGATTAGTTTTTTTTCCCCTGTCAAATCGGACAGTTCTTGTCAAGAATAATGCTTTTGTCAAAAGTCTGTTCTGCGTTATGGTAAACCACAGTCACATTGTCACGGTGCGTGCGGGGAGATGAAGCGAGGACTCAAGTGCAGGAGGAATGGTTATTTATTTTGATAATAATAAAATGAAACAAACACTCAAACCACCCCGAGGGGGAAAAACAGACAGGCAGGCCTAAAGCTGCACCACATGCAGACACAAAACACACACAATGAGAAATGACGGATCAGCACAGGATGACAGACACAAGGAGAATAAATGGGAACCAAACGAGGAGGCTAACGAGGGAGACACAGGTGGAGCAACTTAAACTATAACGAGGTAACAAGATGGGAGGGGCAAGACAATAGACAGGAGAGAGCACATGGCAACAGACAAACACAACACAAGCCATGTGCTCACAGAACACAGTCATCTGGTGGCCCTCCTGGGCACACCCGCTGAAGACTGTGACACACATCTGACGATAACCAGAAGTGCCAAATGTAAGCCTGTTTTGGCATAAACTATTGTTATCTGGTAGTTTTTTTATCTTTTAATTTACTGGATGATCTAGTGCTGAATAAATGTGCATTCATTCAATTTCCTCCATCTAAAGCTTTTTTAAATCAATATTCAGTAGATATGTGAGATAGACCTCTCTACATGCCGATGTGAGATAGACCTCTCTACATGCCAAACGCTCTCTACATTACAAGTCGATCTATCTGTTCTCCTTCGGAGATCGTAATGGCCCTTTTTATGGCTCTTACACAAAAATTGTGCCCGTCTAGTTGTCCATCTCTTTGAATAAACCGATTAAAGAGCCTTTAAAATCTTTTTTTTTTTTCAGTACCAAAAATAGACTGCTGTAAAGGCTTAAGGGCAACAAACCGTGTGTGAACTCTTTGTTGACACTCTCATTGACCAATAAAAGAGTGTGTGTAATCAAACCTTATGCAATCCACCGGACACTTCTAAAGAATTACCATCATGTTATTTAGAATCAATGAACACCTATGTCAGTTTAAACAGGATTAATATTTGCCACTTAAAGCAAAACAAGTAATGTTCAAGGACATTTAATAATAATGACAATAGGCATAATAATAATGCAATATAAACAATATAAAATTATATTACAATATATAGATGTAAATATATTGTCAGATATTTTTCAATATATAATGTAATATATTAATATAATATATTATTCTGTATATTTTCAAAATACATTAAATAAATGAACACATGGATGTCAGTATATAAGGAAGTATAGTTTCTTTGCATAACACCATGTCTATACACCGCGCTGCAACAGCTTGAGGCCATGGCCGTAACAAGGGTTTGAAAATCAGTGAGGTCTAGGGTGGGGTTAAGAATTGTGCTATCCACCTTTTTCTCATAAGAGCGGCCGTGGCCATTTGTACATATTATGGGACTGGCTTCCGGTGTCATTGCTTCCAGCTCTTAGCTGTACAAAACAGCTTGTTTTGCTGCTTGATATTGCAAACTCATGTGCTTTACCATATTATCTTAATGTATTAACTTAACACACTGGTTTGTAGTGCAAACAGTTTTATTGTTTACTGCACTTTGTTATTCTTCTCGTTATTTCCCTACCGTGGCTAATGAACCGGAAGTCTCGCACATTCACAGAAAACGGCTTACTTCCGTGTTTAAAAATAAGGTGGATAATAACCCCTACAAATACAACTCATTATATATTTTCTCTGTTTTGGAGGGATGAACAATATTAAATTATACCATATTTATTGCATCAAAATTTGTTAATAGCCTACTTTACTATAGGTTAGGGGTGGATATTTTTATCAGTTGTTTATTATCCATGCAACAATACATATTACTGTTTTCATTAATAACTCATGCTATATTGATGATAACTTTGTCTAATGCTCTTATTAATGTTTTTAGCATGACTTTGTGAAAATTTAACTACTAACGTTATACTGAATGAAATAGCATAGACTTCTTCATGGCTAATAGTATGATCAAACCGTGTGATCATTTAGCCTACATATCGACTGTTTGCGAATATATTCTCAAGCATAAAATAACGTTTTGCCTATATTTCATACTTTTAGAATTAATCGTCTAACGTTAGAGAAGCAAATCACAAGGTAACACGTTTATAATGTAAATTATTTATATACAGCTTTTCGATTACAGAATAAAGTTTATATTTTATATACTGTTGCAATAAAATATCGGCTAGTGGACGCAAGTCGTTCACAGTAAGTTAATACTTGCAGCGTTTCAAATAGAATATAACGTTTAAATTTCATTCACTATTACAATCAAATAAGAAATCAAGTCACATGTTTCCAAAGTAATTCTACGAGAAAATAACAGCGAAAACAATGAGGAAACAACATTAAGTTATTACATACATCAAATGAGACATCAGCTAGTCTCTGACGAAAATGTACCATGTTTTTACTATAGTAAATATAGTTTAATGATAGCGTTTGTAATTAAACCATAGTAGCCACAAATTTAAACAGTTACATCACAGCATAATAACATTAAAGACCGATATGCAGATGTTTTCACAGGACTAGACTGTATTGAAGGAGAACAACACATCAAGATCAAATCAGATGCTCAGCCTGCCATACATGCACCTAGAAGAGTTCCAGTAGCCCTCAGGAACAAAGTCATGGAAGAACTGGAGCAGATGGAAAAAGTGGGTGTCATTGAAAGAGTAGTGGAGCCCAGAGCTTGGGTCAACAGTATGGGTCACTATATGGAAACCAGAAAAGAAAAAAGTCAGGATATGCATGGACCCAAAAGATTTGAATGCTGCAATTGAAAGAGAGCATTACCCGATGACAACAATTGAGGAGGTGGTGACAAGAATGACTGGTCCAACTTCATCGAAGTGGAAAAGGTGAAAAACATCAAAAGCACAACCATCATTAACATCTGCAA